TTAGATGCAAATATCAAATTGGAGTTCTGCCTCCAGGCCAGAGTTGCAGGAATGCACCACGTGTTGGCTGTTTCACTGCCCTCTGTGCCCCACTTTCAGCCCTGCTGTCAGGGCAAAGATTGAGCAGCATATAAATGGACACATTCAAAGTGCTTTGCCTTTCAAAGGTATGTTGGTATTAAATATACCTCATAGTTAAAGTCATAAATATGCACTTCTTTTCAGCACCTCTGCAGGTCTTTGTTGACTTAAAAGTTATTTTTCACATTGTACAGTTCAGTTCATTCATCAGCGAGAGAAAAAAGTGTTTTCATTAAATATTTTTCCTGTTCACCACATTTCCTGACAGCTCTTGTGATCCACACCATTTTGCTTTCATTATTGAGGACGGCTTGGATATTTTTGTTAATATGTACAATCTGATTGTTAGATAAACTGACTGCATTCTATACAACTACATTTAAATTACATGTTTTTTCTTTTTTTCTCTCTTACAGACAAAATGATGTGCCGGTGCACTTTCACTGCCCTTCTGTAACATGACAGTCATACAGCGTGGGGATATGGCAAGGCAATTATTGTCATGTCAGCATTCAGGACTGCTCCCCACTGAACTCTCCGTGGAGCCTCGTCTCCCTCTCCATGTCTCGTCTCCAGCATCTAAACCATTTCCTGAATCTTGGGTAGAACATTCATGTGCTCCACCCTCTGTGCTAAATGAAACTGGGGCTTGTGGAAAGTCCATGAAAATGAAACGTCCTCACTGTGGTCTTAGTCTTCTTACAAAAAAACTTCAAGGCTCACATGATGAGGAGGCATTCAAACAGGTCAATAGATGTTTGCCTGGCCTGTCATCCACAGTGTTTTTGTGTAGAGGGACTTCTTCCTCTTTGTTTTTCAGTTTGCAGAGGGCATGGAGCTCTTTTTAAAAGCATGTGCTGACGAGCAGAGACTACAGGTCAAAGCGATGTTTGACATTTAATGGACAGATGAAGGCACTGGCTGTTTGTTTGTGTTTTTTATCTGTTGTTTGTTTTTCAGTGTACAGAATTCCAGTTAAACTTATTATAAAATGCTGTTCACTTGTTTCCATACTTATAGTAAAAAATGTAAGTGTAAATGTTACAGCATTGTTTATACTTGTAACTTCAGAGTAAAAAGCTTATTGTTGATATTAACATTAATGTATTATCCTGTAATCAATAATATTTTTATGCATTTTACGCATTAACCCTCTGATCTCTATCCTGGCCATTTGGGGCCACTTCACTTCTCCTTGTTTGACTGCTACACTGCAGTGGACCAAAAGAATGACGCAGGTTTGATCTTAAGGCTCTAATAGTTGTGTGTGTTGTGCATGACATTGCAACGCAAACATGTATTTGCAAGATAGACTGGAATAAATTATGATGCATCAAATATTACACAGGCTGCAGTGAATTGTTGTTGATACAGGTTATTGAGCTTTGAGTTTCCCAGTCAAACGTAGCTTTGACACACATGCTAACACTCTTACTCTTGTACATTTCATAACAAGACACCATAGCCAAAAATATTAGCTCTCAAAAAAAATTCAAAGCTGCAGCTGCAGCACACACAGCAACAAACACTGTTAGTAAATGTGTCCTGGAGTTTCTGCAGGTGCAGAAAGTGCTGCTGCTGTAAGTCAGCCTAACAGCTTCCAGATCACTGATATTTCTGGAAAGATGGCAAGAAGGGCATCACTGCTCATTTCTACAATCTCCCAGATCTTGGAATACAAGCCCCTGTCCCATGAAAACCACTTCACAGTAGTAGGAGTCCACTAAAACCTACAAATGAAGAGTGATCCTGGAAGAAATAGGGCGCACACTAGTGACCTCGACAGTTGCAAGACAGCCTTGTCCCCGATGCTTATATGAAAAAAAATATGAAGATTTATGAAACCATTAGGACTTTATTACTGTTTTATCTGAAAAGCTACTGGTAATATTTAACCTAACTGGGATTTAAAGTGTAAAAAACAGAATGTAGATAAAACTTTGGTTTTGATGAAAAGGAGTGGAGCTTGTGAGCCACAATGTAAGCAGTGTTGCTTTGCTGACATGCACTCGATGCTGGCAGTACAAGCATTGTAGTGGTTCTTATGTTTTTGTAAACTAACTGTATAATATATTGAGCCATTCAACAGTACACAAATGTTTGTAGGCTCCTTTTTGTATGCAACCTGCATGTCTTTCTGAATTAATTGTTTGTTTATATCATGTTTTTCAGGACAAAGAAGAAGTTAAAGTCAAGTGGAAGCCCTGCTCAACATGGTATGTAGTAACAACTTTGTTGGACGGGAACAGACATTCATACTGTTGATAAATAGTTATCACCTCAATTTGAATTCATGTATTTGGACTAAAGTAAATTGGGAGCTTTTAGCTGTCAAGCTGCTCCTCTGTGAGGAGCTTGATAGCTGTCCACCTCCAAAGTCCATTATGAGTTTTGGAGGTGGACATGGTCAAGACTTTTAAGAGTTGGCATAAGACTTCACTTCTTTATAGAGCTTATAGTTGGGGCTGGTTCAGGTCAGCCCTTAGTTATGCTGTCATAGCACCAGACTGCTGGGGGTTAGTGTCTACTCGTGTCATTGTATATATCCAGGAATATGTGCCTGAGGATAGTTGTCATGAAATCAATATTAAATCAAAGGATTCCTTAATGACCACAGCTGGCATGAGTTCTCCAAAGCTGCCTGCTGTCTCAGGATCTGTCTCCAAAAAGAACCAGGGAGCGCTAACATGTTATGTTCTAGACTGATGAAGAAAATGCACATTAAACATAGTATAAACTCACTATGTTAAGTAATGTGAAGAGGATGCCTTTAGCTCCTATTGGGTTGGTTCCTTGATCAGTGCAATACAGAATCATTCATCTGGTTTGATGTAATGTCCTTCAAACACGTCAAAATGAGGCTCTGTAGTCTGTGTGGCCTCCACATGCCTGTATGACCTCACTACAACACCTGGGCATGCTCCTGATGAAGTGGCAGATGGTCTCCTGATGGATCTCCTCCCAGACTCCAGGACTAGAGCATCTGCCAACTCCTGGACAGTCTGTGGTGCAGTTGGTGGATGGAGCGAGACATGATGTCCCAGATGTCCTCAAATGGATTCAGGTCTGGGGAATGGGCGGGCCAGTCCACAGCATCAATGCCTTCGTCTTGCAGGAACTGCTGACACACTCCAGCCACATGAGGTCTAGCGCTGTCTTGCATTAGGAGGAACCCGGGGCCACCCGCACCAGCATTTAGTCTCACAAGGGGTCTGAGGATCTAATTTCAGCACCTAATGGCAGTCAGGCTACCTCTGCCGAGCACATGGAGGGCTGTGCGGTCCCCCAAAGAAATGCCACCCACACCATTAGTGACCCACTGCCCAACCATCATGCTGGTGGATGTTTCAGGCAGCAGAAGGTTCTCCAATATGTCTCCAGACTCTGTCACACGTGCTCAGTGTGAACCTGCTTTCATCTGTGAAGAGCACAGGGCGCCAGTGGCAAAGTTGCCAAGCTTGGTGTTCTCTGGCAAATGCCAAACATCCTGCACGGTGTTGGGCTGTAAGCACAACCCCCACCTGTGGACGTCGGGCCCTCATACCACCCTCATGGAGTCAGTATCTGACCGTTTGAACAGACGTGCATATTTGTGGCCTGCTGGAGGTCATTTTGCACAGCTCTGGCCTTTCTTTCCTACCCCACAGTACCTTTCCTTATCTTTTGTTTCCTACTTAGTCTTTGATCACGGTTGTCTTTCTAGATAATTAATGTCATTTGTTCTGGGGCGAGTCACTGGCTCGGGTGCATTCTGGGACTGTCAGTTCACCAGTGTGCTGGCATGCTTCTTAACAAACACACCACTACAGCAAACATCTCAGTTGTACTTGTTGATTTCTTCAACAAAACACTGAACAAAACATGTCCTTGTGAGTGTGCTGCCTGGTGCTTTTACATTTTGTGGTAATTTGAGCAGCCCAGAAAGCATCCCATGAATTAAATTATGTTATTGTATCTGAACATGTACACGAGTCATTAAATTAGATGGGAAAGAATGATTCAGGGTAAACAACTGCACCAAGGGAATTACATTTTTCTTCTCAACATGTAAAATGTCTGTTGATAAGCAATTTCTAAAACAGACATTATAAAAATCACATTAAACAGATGTGTTTAACTTTTTATTCTAGCAAACATAACATCAATGATGACACAATCAGTCTTCATCAGAAGTGCTCAAATCACTCTCATCGTCTGGAATGTCCTCCTCCTTCTCCGAGTCCATTTCCAGGAGTGGTTGGTGGCTGAGGATTCTCTTGTACACGTCCTTTACTTTAAGCGTTTCAGCTTTCAGTTCACTTTGTTTTTAAACCAGGCTATGGAGTCCTTTCTGTGCATCCTCCGACATGCCAACAAGGGAGGCTGTAAAAACAACAAAACTATTAAATATAAGTAAAACAAACAAACAGACAAAAAACTCACCTCATAAACACAAGGAGTTAGGATCATGTAATTAAACTTTTTTTAAGGGAGAAGGCAGTGTTAGCTAGCAACCCAAATATAGGTAAAAGATCCAGTAAGACTTTAGCATCTGCTCTTATTTTCAATCAATTCATCACCAAATGTATAAATAAATAAAAGATGTGCTTACAGTCTGAGGAGATTGTCCCCAACACCACAGATCGCATTTGCAACACTGTCCAGTGATGCTGCATCTCCCTGCAAAGGATCATCTCCTCCTCTCTCAGGCGCCTCACAGCCATCACCTTCTCAAAGACCTTTCTCTTTGTCCGGAGGTCAGCAGCAGCTGCAGTTTAACAACATCAGATGGGAAAACATAGCAGCATATTATGATTCAAGAACACAACATTCAACTGCTGCTCAGATACTGGGAGTTTGTTTAAAAAGGATATTTAGAAATCAAGAGCTTACGTTCACTTGTGCTCTGCCAGGGCCAAATGTCGGTCTGCATGAGGGCATCACTGGATACGATTTGCTTTGTTGCTTGTTTCCTTGTTGTAGTCGTTAACAGCAGCCGCCAAGCGTTTCTTCTCATCTAAGATGACCTTGCGAATTCTGTGTCGCCTCTTGTTGCTATCTGTAAATAATCATAAAAAGGAACACCTTCACATAATGCATATATTTACATTTTAATCTACACTCATCAATTTGTTTGCTAGAACAAATCACATCCAGCTTAAACAAACCTGGATCTGATTTTATTCTGTTTACAAAGTAGCTGTACAAGCTGTACAAACTGAGCATCAAACGGTCCGTTTCAAAGAAACTGTGACACCATTTTGTCTGTAAAGACTTTGTGTTCGCACTCTGATGATGACGACAAGCTGCTCTACTCGTGCCTGCAACGCTCCAAGGCTGCCATCAGTTTGATCCGTTTCTAAGTGAGAGGAATATTAATCAGAACACAGGATGAGTAACAGTCACCAAACTACAGTGGACTCTGTAATCACTGACTTGATGATATTCATTATAAGACATCTGGAGCCTTCATGTGCTGCATTATCATGAGATAACAAGTATGTTGGTGTTCAGCTTTATAAAACCAACTAGTACGACATCACTTCAACCCAGGTCCAATCCAATTTGATCAAACGCAACAACTCTGCCATCAATTCTGCTTTTACAAGCTTATTTTTCATTGTTTGTTGACACTGTCAGAAAGATCTTAACTCTAAGTTGTTTAATGAGGCCATGGTGGGTCCTGTTGTTATACACGAGTGCATTATATTGAGACTCACCTTCAGCCCATTGCTGCAGTGTGTCGTCATCCACACCCAGCTCATTTCTGCTCGCATTCAGGCTCTCCACTTGTTCTCTAAGGATCCTTATGATCTAAGAATACATTAATAAATGTCATTCATATGGACATTTTTAGAGTACTGGTGTTTCCCCCCCATTACCACACACATTAAAATGGGTGTTGAAAAAATGACCTTTAGATATCTCTGGCTCAAAGTGCGGCCCAGTTGTTCCACTTTCCTTTTGTTCCAGCCCAAAGCCAGGAGGCTCAGCATGTCTGTTCGCCCTGCATTTCAGTTAGTATACAAATAAGAATGAATGAGCAGGAGACTGAGTGGAATCTCACACACAGACACACACCTGCTTTAGACATGTACTTTGTTGTGATGGCCGCCCTAGACAGGAAACTGTTTACTTGCTCCACCTCTTCTCCAACTGTAGAACCGTCCCCATCCTGAAACGCACCTCCCCATTTGATCTATAGAAAGGAGGTCACAATACATGACTGCTGAATTCATTCAACCTTATAACAAAATGTCTTAAACGTATCCAAGCCTACAAGCTGCAGTATACCTCGCACATCCAAGTGTGAGCTTTTGCATGCATGACGGAGAGAAAGGCTACGTTCACTCTGCAGGTCTTAATGCTCAATTCCGATTTTTGATCAAATCCGATTTTTTTATCTGCTCGTTCACACTACAAATAAAATGCGACAGCAAACGCGCTCTAGTGTGAACGCTCAAAGCGGCCCGCGTGCCCAAAAGAAGATGTCACACACAACGCGCTCTGTTTAGACCCAGAGCAACAATATTGTTTGACAGATGGCCCTTAATATAAAGACTTCGGACTTCACGTTTCCCAATTCGATCACCTCTTGTACCCTTCCTCAATATTGAATCTTAACAGTTAAAGTCTTGATACTGGTTAATTGGTCGCAAAAAACTCAGGGAGTTTATCCGCTGGGCGGTTATTTTAAATTTGTCTAAAATTGTCTAGGCGCTAAAGCTGACAGATCTGACAGTGGTTGTAAATATAAGACGTCTCTGTAATAAAAAAAGATCTCTGTGGGTCGAGTCAGCAATGTACTGACTTCCTGCTACTATTCTTAGATGAAGAGTGTGTGTGCATGCAAATGAGGCAGCTGATGCAGAGCGCATGAGAGGACTATGCTTTCGGTTTTGTGTGATTATTCAGCCCTATAACTATTGTTTGCAAATGTGGATAAATGTCTGCGATTAAAATGCTGGCTTAGTAAATAATAACATTGTAAATATATGAATGGTGACAGCGTTTCAAAATAGAATATAAGAATTGTTTGTGTTTAAAACCAACGTTTAGGTAAGAAGATTTAAGGTGGATTTGAAGGCATAAACAAAAAATAAAAGGGTTACAGTCTGCAAGTGTTGTTAATTCATGAGCTGACTGGATGCAGAGTAAGTGGAGTGGTCATCCTGAGAGGATTGAATGATACTCTAACTCTGTGGTCAAGTCAGACATAGGTTTTAAGTAACCATGAGCCACTAATAAGCGTGACAAATTAATGAGTATGTGTAAATTGAACTTGTTAAATAGCCTTAATAGAAGTATCTCAATGAACACGCAATGAAGTGGACTTTTTAGGGGTAGTTTACCATTGATACCATAAAAAGCAACTTAATTAGTAGTTCAATAACAAATTTTAAAGATAACCTTTGTTATTTGATAAGAGAGAGAAAAATTCAGGTTACATATAGTAAATAAATAAGGGAATGTTAATCTCTGCGTCATTCCACACTGAAATTTCAATTGTAGGGGATCATTTGGAGGTGAATTGTGTAGGACACGGGGAGACAGAAGAATCTCCCCATGAGTTTCCGGTGTGCATAGAAATTGAGGAGGCTGAACTGGAAGCCTGACTGGGTCGTTGTTTTTGTTTATTTGAGGGTCTGCTGGAAATTTGTGAGAACGACCATCTTGATATGTGGGAGCATTCTCGGGCAGCGATTTTTTTGTTAAACATGTGGCAGGCTGTGCAAAATGGAGAAAGCTTTGACATGATGAATAAAGGTGTGAGAGGTATTTCTTTGGTGATGTAAGGTAGGATGTTTTAAAGTTTAAAAGTGTTTTTAATTTGAGAGAGGCATGAGTGATGTTATAAGAGTTTGAGTTTCTTTTTCTTTCAGTTTAAAACACATAAGTACATACACTTGGTACACCTGTTTACTCTTTGACTTTATTAAAACAGACGGTGTATTTGAGTTTGAATTTCAGTAATTGTATGTTATATGGTAATTTAGTTTTATGTTAGGTGAAGGAGATGTCCATCTCTGCGTCTTGCAGGATTGAAAGTGAAAGTTGAAGGTTGTGATGTGAATGCTGTGAGTACTCGATTTGAATGATTCTGTGTGAGGTGTACAAAATACTAAATAATAATAACACTATGAAAGTTGATAGTAGAGTGAGTGCAAGGTGATGTGTGAACAGAGGAAGTCTGAGAGAGAAGTGTGTGCGTAGGCAAAATGCAGAGTGTGTGCGTGAAATAAGGGAGTATTGTTTTTACATCAAGGTTTAGTAGAACTAAAGTAGAACGTTACAAACAAACAAAAGAAGGAGTCAGAAGTGAGATAGTTTAATATAAGATGCAATGAAGGAAGCAGCTTACATTCCTTTAATTCCCAGAGCCAGTGTGTTCCCTCCCCTGCCCACTTGGGCCCCGTATCAGGCGAGTATGGAAGGCTGGATAGCCCATGACGGGTAAGATCCCACCTCGAAACCCTGGGACAACCTAAGGCAGGCACAGTCACGATTATTCGCCTCACTCAGTCCCGGTGAGCTCCGACTCACTGGTGAGATGAAGTGAAGAGGATGGGACCTCAAGGGGTAAAGCCGCTGGGCTAAGGTGGAGGTGGAAAGTGGCAAGTGGAGCCCTACCTTCTGGCTGAGGACAAGGAATGCTGCTATTTAAGGTAGGAAATCAGAATTTGGGTTAGTAAATTTGGGGAGGAGAAAATTGACTGTTTAAAGGCAAAATTATGAAGGAGTCTGACACACTGCAAAAGCACCATATGCAAATTCACACACACAAACAGGAAATGCATTAAACTTATAAAGACAAGACAAGCTCATGGAGTTTAATGCAGAGCTGGAGATTAAACCTGGCTAAGAACACAAACATATGCAATGAAGAACAGCTTGCTATTTTGTATGAATGATACAATGGTGTGAATGTTTAATAAAATACATTTGTGTTTGTAATTGAGGAATAGAATAAGCCATATGACAAAGGGAGTTATGTTTTATGCTGAATTGAAGTAGGTTACAGAGCATAAGGGGGTGATTTTTGTGTGCAAATTGTGTGGTTTTAATGAGACTTTTGGTGTATTGAGGAGGTGAAATTATGTGGTGGCAAGACTTGTGTGTTTAAGGTTGTTGTGGTGATGGGTTGATTCTGTCAGGTAGGTTGTTGTTGTTATTTTTGTTTTTAATAGAGGGAGTTTTAGGAAACATGGACATGTCTGGGAGGGGCCCATTATTTGTAACAGTGCACTTAAAGAAAACCTGTCAGGTGATTTTGTTTTGTTTTTATGAGCTAACAATCAGCTCTATTTTTCCATTTCTGTTTTAAGCAGGCCTGCAACAGTGAATAACGGCGCTGAAAATTATCGGGAAGAGCAAATACAAGGGGGGCTTTCCAGATTACAATTGGCTGAGGAGAGCTACCTGTGGGGACTGATCAAGGTCGTAAGTCCCTGTAGAAAGGATTTTATGCGAGTCAATTCAGTCCAAAAGCATAAAGAAATATTTTCCTATGGAAAATAAAAAATGACTGAGCTCATTTTGCTGAGGGTGGAGTATCTGATCGTGCGGGAAGCTCCACTATCAGCAAATACATGGTGTGACTGCATGTGAGTGAATGTGTGACTGCATGTGAGTGAGGATGAATTAATGTGGACAAACAATTTGTTTTTACCAGAGAAAATTTCTGTTTTGTTTTGTTGACTGGGGTTAGATTATGGGATTGTAGTATATTGTTGGGAGAATGCCAAATGCTAAAGGGGAAATATTTTTTGATGTAACTCAGTTATCATTAATTGAAGAAACACATGACTGATAACTGTTCTGTTTTAAGTTTATCTTTATGACATACATTGGATCATGAGTGGGGAAACTGAGCATTTTTAAGTTTTGTATAGTATCTTGACACATGAAATGTATCAAGATAAAGGGGGGTTTAGGGTTTATTAATTTAATTGTTTAATAATTTAGGATCATTTCAGGACCTTTTGGGTTTTTGATCATTTGGATATGGTAAAACTGAAACTGTTATTTTTAAGTTAAGGTTAAAGGATTAAAAGTGAACTTGTCACGGTTTGCGAGGCAAGCCGTGTGGAGTTGTAGAAAAGGACCCAAAAGGCGGCAGCTCTGGTGCAGGTGAATATTTATTTACAACGGTGGAAAAACAAGAAACCGGAAACCTAAACTGGGTAAGCTAATAACACAAACCAGAAACGAGGATGCAGGGAGGTCCGGGGAAATACACAAGAGACGCAGGGAGACCGAGGGGAAACAATATAGACGAACCAGCAACTACCATAACAGAAGACACAACTTAAATACACCCAGAGAACACAGGGAGATTACACACAGGTGGGGAACACAGGTGACACTGATAAACATAACGAGACAGGGCAGGAGTGAACACAACATTACGCATACAGACGAGAGACTGTCAAGGTAAAACAGGAAGTACACAGAGGTTCAGACAGGAGGAGAGAAAGCACGGGGAGAACACAGACATAACAGGCTGGGGGAAACATGGAATAAACACAAAGAGAGACGAGAGCTCATAAATACACAGAGGGGCACAAGGGGGTAAGAGTCACAAAGGGAAAAACACTTAGGGAACACCACAATAGGACACCTGAGAAAACCTGGCCTAAATAAGGAGCGAAAATACAAGGAACCAAGAATACTGGGCCAACATGGCCCAGGACCATGACAGAACTGAATCCTGTTTAGAAGATACAATGCCGGTTTTTCAAAGCTGTGAATGAGTCTTAGAGGGAAAATTAGTGAGGGTTGAAGGAGTAGAACAGCTTTGATTTCTTTTTGATTTCTAGAAGTAGTGGTTATAATATAGGCTTACACATACAGATATTACATAGGAGGTATTTTTAGGATAAAAGGGGGAGCTTATAAATAGAAATGATTTTTATACATATTGCATTTTTTGATATGAGTTATTGAAGTTATTGAAGGATTGCACGCTTACAGACACAGAGTTAAGAAACACACATGACAGTATTGATTCCAGGCAAAAGGCCCTAAATTCATTTAGCTTTTTGACTGAACTTAAAAGAAGGACTAAAGAGTAAGGAAAGCATATATTTTGGTTAAGTCTGATAAATTAGAATTAGGAGGTATTGTTACATTAAAGGGAGCAAATGAAATAAAAAAGGCTATACCAAAAACAGGTGATAACATAGGAAATGTGAGGTTTTAAAATGAAGTTAGTGTTAACACATAGGAGTTGTTTCAAGGCAGCATTTAGCTATGATGAAATGTATATAGGAGTAATTGCTTATATGCTTAAACTTAATTGATTAAAGTGGTTGTTTTCTTTTGGAGTAGAGGAACTTGCAGCAGCGACAATTTGTGCACAGGATGTTGATGATCAGATAAGGGAAAGTAGAGCGAGCAACTGGACGTGAAAGCAGGGCTTAAAGAGTTTAAAGTGATGAGGAACGTTGAAGAATATACATAAATACAAGTCAATAAGTTAAGAGCATAATTAGGATCATGCTTTTGATTAAAGAGTCCCAAAAAGGATAAGTTAGGGAGATGCAAGAAAAGGTGTTTTGTTTCCTTTGCAGAAGATCTCAGCGACCACAGGAGGGGCGAGGATCCTGGAGATCTCGAGGCCTGGTGAACCACAATGTATTGCGACCTCTGGTGTTCCAGAGGTCGTGAGAGGGAGTGTGGAGCAGGGAAATTATTTTACTGCTATTGTTAAATAATTGTCATCATTACCATTGCATTAATAATGAAATCTGGAGTTTATATCGCATTCAGGGGTTAAACAGTACAAGAGGTGATCGAAAGATAACCACACTGATCCGGCCGGGTGAAGTCAAACGATGATTTTAATTCACGCGTGGGAAGATCACTAGAAACAGCAATTGATCTTCAACTTACTAAAAGCACAAACAATTATTTTATAATATCAGGGTTTGATTACTGACGCCCCTTCATGCGTCACAGATACATTTATACATAGATCAGATCAACATCATCATGACTTTTCACCTAGAAAATCATCTTCTATTTTCATGGCTAGCCCTTCCTGTCTACCTTTCAGTTCTTGTCTTGTTCCTCTTTCTTGCCGAGACACCAAGAAACGGTTCCTCTTTTACCAAGACAATTTTGCAGTTACAGCCAAACATCCTCTAAATAAATCTAATTTAAAGTGTGTGTGTCACAACCTCACTCAGCCTCGATGTCACCTCTCGCACTTCTGACCTTTTACCAGACCAGAGGCTCACTGAGACTATGTGTATGTCTTCTACTAAATAAATGTTTTAATCAAGAACCCCTACTAAAAGCTTAATACAAGAATGACCTGATATAAGTATTTTGTAAGCATGTATTGCAATTCCTTCTATGTTCTAGTTTTCCCTCAGCATGTATCACCTGAACAGTCACGTCAGTGAGGCTTAAAACCTTTAAAGAACCTGAACATCAACTCAAATAAGCACAGATATGCAATATGTATAAAATAGTTATAACTGCACCTGAAATACAAAGTTAATATCATCATAAACATCTTCAGGCCATCTTAAAGCTATCTGTTACATTGTTAAAGCAATGATCATACTGCAGATTATATTATGCTGGTAAAATACTTTTCTGTTCATCCCCACAATCCCCCTTTCGACCTCTGGCACACCAGAGGTCGATACACAGGTTGTTGTTCACTCCTCAGTCCACTCGACTACTTCCAGATCCATCATCGGCATCATGGACATAGGGGCCACCGCCCCAGGGTCCACTGCCTTTACAATCACTTTCTCTACCAACCTTCGGGCACAAGGAATGAGACAACAACCACAGGTCACCAAAATACCCACCAATACAGATAGAGACAACATAATTGACAGAACAAGCCCCTTCCACTTTCCCTTTTTTTACTCTTTTTATTTAAACCACCCCTTTTCAAACTCTCAATTTGTTACCACGCCTTTTTGTAGACGCGGCGATTTCCTCCTAGGCTGCTCTTCTTTCTTCGGCCTTCCAGGTGGACTACTGGTTGGCCCGTTGCACAGGTGAGAAGGTTTATTCTGCCTCTGTTTCTTGACACCTGCGTTCTTTGAAGATGAGTTTTCCTCCACCAAGCTCTCGTGTGTGGGTGCACACTGCGACCAGTGGTACCAGGTGTCGCCTTTCCCTTTCAGCTGGACTGCTGTAGCTGTCCGGGCGGTCACCTCATACGGACCAGTCCAGCGGGGCTCCTTCCACTTTCGCTTAATGACCTTCAGCCACACTGCCTTTGCGTCCGGGACCTCTCCGTTCCCCGTGGGTCTCTCACAAGTGACCTGTTTTGTAAAGCTGGACACAAGAGCTTTCAACTCATTAAAATATTCTGCATGAGACCTGTTGCTTGTCCTGGGCTGCTCCACCGGGACCACTGTCCAGGGTGCTGGAAACTGTCTCCCAGTCAGCAGCTCATAAGGGGTGAAACCTGTGGATTGGTTAACAGAACATCTTATGGTCATCAAAGCAATGGGCAGGGCTGCGACCCAATTTAGCCCTGTCTGCGCACAGATTTTAGCCAACTTGTTTTTCAAATTTAGGTTCATCCTCTCTACCTTTCCTTGAGATTGAGGATGATAGACCATCCCGAACTTATGTTGCACTCCCAACATCCTCTCTACCTCTTGCAAATCTTTATTCTTGAAGTGAGTACCATTGTCTGATCTAATTCTCTTGGGAAACCCATGCCTTGGAATGTAATGATTGATTAAGCACTTAATCACACTTTTCGCGTCTTCACGTTTGGTCGCCCATGCTTCGGGCCATCCAGTCAGAACATCCACACACACCAACAAATACCTCACCCCACCTGGGCCTGTATCAATCATGTCGGTATAATCAATCACGACCTCTTCTCCTGGCCTTTCTGGCATGAGAAACTTACCAGCTTCAGGTTTTACTGCTGGCTTTGGGTTGTGTGCCCCACAAATTAGGCACGTTCTGGCCTTTTCCAGTATCATCCTTCTCAAATCAGGATGCCACCATCGGCACAAATTTCTCTCCATCTGTTTTACTCCCACGTGACCAAGCCCGTGAGCCTCATTCACCTTTTGTTCCGCCATTTTGACCGTTAAAGCGGGACGCCCATCTGGCCCCCTCCACAAACCGCCATCTTGCCAGGCTCCTTTGTTTTCCCACACCCCCTTTTCCTCTGGGGATGTCTCCTCCTGAGCCTGTCTAACTTCTTCCATGCTGTTAGTGCTAACCTCCTCTTCTGGGTTACCTGCACCATTTGTCTCTGTCCTTTGTAGCCCGCTGCTTCCTTTGCGGCTTCATCAGCTTTCTGATTTCCTTTTGCCACCATACTGTCTGCTTGTGAGTGGCCTTTGCATTTTATAATACTTACCTCGTCTGGGTCCTCCAGGGCCTTTTCCAGTTCCTCCATTTCCTTTTTGTGACAGATGGGTGCATTAGTGGCCGTTCTGAACCCGGCTCTCTTCCACTGAACCAGTTCCACATGAGCTGCTCCAAACGCATATGCTGAGTCAGTGTAGATGTTCACTCTCATGTTTTTAGCCAGCCTCAGGGCTCGAGTTAGGGCTATCACTTCAGCTCTCTGGGCCGACTGTTGTCCCTCAATTTTTCCTGCTTCTTTCACCTGAAACTCAGTTCCTACTCTACAGACTACTGCATAGCCCGCTTTCAATCCTTCTTCATCTCTGTGGCAGCATCCATCTGTGAACCAATCCTCAGCTCCAAGTATGGGCTCTGCCTTCAGGTCTTCCCTGATTTTTCCTTCAACTTGGGCTTTCTTAATACAGTCATGTGGTTCTCCTGACCCCATTAGGTCTGCCATATTTATTCCTTCATGTGTGAATATCAAATTTGGCGCCTCTAAAATTTTGCTCAACCTTTGTTGCGTCAGTGGAGTCATTGTGAATGCCTGTGAGTTCACATAGGCCACTACACTGTGTGTGGTAAGCACTTTCAGTGGGTGTTCCCTCACTATGTGTGCTGTTTTCTGAATTATCTTTGCTACTCCTGCTGCGTGTTGTGTGCATGTGGGATGCCTTGCTTCTGTTGAATTTAATCTTATGCTAACATACATAAGTACATCCCTACCTCCCCCTTTTTTCTGAAACAACACACCATTCACAACTCCCTTTGTTTCTGAAACATCCAGATAAAATGCCTCATCATAGTTAGGTGTGGCCAGATCTGTGGCTCTTGACAAATCCTGTTTTAGCGAAATGAACACTGTCTCTGTGTCCGGCGTCCAAGGCAACTCAGCCTTCAGATTTCGGACACCAACTTTCTTGATCAGGTCCCTTAAAGGGGCAGTTTTACCCGCATAGTTCGGAATGAACTGCCTGCTGTAACCTGTCAAGCCAAGAAAGGAAAGCAACTCCTTCACAGTTCTTGGTTTTGGATGTGTCAGAATTTGGTCTCTGTGTGTGTTCATTAACCCCACTGATCTGTGTGCAATCACCCGGCCCAGGAATGTTACCTCTGGCCGGACCAACTGCAGTTTTTCTTTGCTCACTTTGAAGCCACACTCCGCCAATCTGTTCAACACCACGAGCGATGCTGCCGTACAGGCCGCTGCTGACGGGGCTGCAATAAGAAGATCATCAACATACTGTATTAATGTACAGCCCTCTGGCAGTTGACATGGGGACAATGCCTCTTTCAACACCTGATTGAAAATTCCTGGTGAGAGTGCAAAGCCTTGTGGTAGGCGTGTGTACCTAAATTTCCGGCCTCTGTATGTGAATGAGAAAATGTCTCTGAGTGACTCGTGCAGTGGGAGACAAAAGAATGCATTCGCTAGGTCAATACATGTGAACCACTTTTGGTCCCCAGTAATTTCGGTCAGAGCCGTGTAGGGATTTGGTACAGGCACAGTGTCAGTCCTCAGTATGGCATTTATTGCTCTCAAATCATGTGCCATACGGTACTTCCCTGTCCCATGTTTTTCCACTGGCAAAATAGGTGTGTTCCAAAATGACCATGAGGGCTCAAGCACTCCTGCTTTCCACAGCCCTTCAATGGTTTCAGCTATACCTTCTTCTGCTTCAGTTTTGTGCTTATATTGTGGTCTGTTAATTGATATGTCAGACTTCAGCTGGAACAGGACAGGCGAACAGTTAGCTAAACCTACATCTGTGGGCCCTGCGGACCACAAAGTACCAGGCAATTTTGAGAGCTCAGCTACTGCATCAGGATGATCCATTCTTTCCCTGCCATGTATTCTGGAGATTTCTTTATGTTCTAAGATCACTGCATCGTTGGACAAACAAGTTATGCGATATATTTTACATTTCGGTGCATACCAGACATTTGGAATTTGGGTGCTTTGCCAGCATGCGTTGTCCAGCGCCCGCTTGACCATTGGTCCCAGATCTCTTGGCCCATGACCCTCGTGGACCGCCAATGTAATGTGAGGGGCTGAATCCTCTCCCACATTGTACCAAGGCAGTTGTTCATCAGTAAATTTCACAGCCGCGGCCACACCTTCTGGTCCAACATAAATGTTATGTGTTTGCACATTCCACGTCTGTCCCTCAAGATCAGACTGGAACTGTTCCCGGTAGATATCGTTATCTTCCCTATCATAAAAGAGTGTAACGTGGAAAGGATCTCGCGGAGGGGAGTAGACGGCCAGGCTCATTATCCAGGGTTTCCATAGCTGATAATGTCTCAGAATGCCTTCTTCCACTAGCCTCCCCCAGTAGATTTCGGCAGTGGGTTGTTCAGAGTTCTGGACTAGATATTGAGTCTTTGAAGGTGATCCCAGGCACGGGAATTCTTTTCCTCCAGGTAGAGTAACAATCAGTCCATCTGGTGAGCACATGATTGTGGCTCCCAGTTTCACAAGCAGGTCCCTGCCCATGAGATTTACAGGCACCTGTGAGGACACCACATATTGGTGTTTCAAAGTCTGTTTTCCCAGCTTTGTCAATGCTGGATCCGTCAATGGCAGTGTCATTGGAATCCCGGAAAAGCCTACCACATTAACTGTGTGACAGGAGAGTGTTGCACTGTCTGGTGTGTCTTTCAATGTTGAGTATGTTGCTCCAGTATCCACCAGGAAGGGCAATTCAGTGCCTTCCACGGTCATCGACAGCATGGGTTCTGCCGTTCCCACGCTGTTCGGTTTCTCCGGGCTCCGTCAGTATTGCTCCCTCTCCCAGCCCCAGTCGGCTACTGGGTACTGGGCGGCTGGTGCTGCATTCGGGTTTGGAGCTTGATATGCTCCCCTGTTAGCAGCTCTTTGTCTTGGGCCTCCTCGTGCCTGGGATTGATAGCCTCGCCCCTGATAGTTCTGCGGCGGTTCAGGTCCTCCCCTCACGGATCCACCACGCCCTCTCTGCGGTCCACCGGTCCCCCAATTCCCTACTGGTTGACGCTGCCTTGGTGCATTGACGGGCCAACGATCATCAGGGTAGAGACCCGGATCCTGATCTGACCAGTCAGGCACAGGATCGGGCTGAGGCCCTGCCACCATTATTTTCCTTGCGCTCTCTTTATCCTCTTTCTTTCTATCACCTGCCTTGTTTCTCACCTCCGTCAGCTGTATCTTTACCAGCTGCGCCTGTGCCTCCTCCAACTCTTTCTTTTGTTTGTTTGCCAAATCCTGTTCCTGCTGAAGTCTGTGGGTCACATGTCTCTCCCACTGCACCGAGTCTGCAACGGCAAAATCTGGGTTCTTTTCCAAGTCAACTGCAACCTGGTTGGGCAGCCCTGCCAGCACTGCCGAACGAAACCACGCTCTACTTTCACCCTCCTTCCCCGGATGTATTCCTGTTTCTAACAACCATTGTTCCTTTGCTTTAGCTAAAAACTCTCTGGGTGTGTTTTTAGGATCCCAAATAATTTTTGGAATGGCTCCAGAGTTAGGAGTTGGGTACTTCTCCCGGACTGCATCTGCTAAGTCATTCTGCACCTCATGGTATTGTAGGTCATTTGCATATCTGGTTGTTTGAGCTATCTGCTCTACATCTGCTAACCCACCACCCAGCATACAACGTCCGGCCAAGGCGCGAAAATCGCCCAGCGCTAATTCTTCTCCTTCGGTCAGCGCGCCCAGCCTTCTCAACCAGCTAGCTCCTCCCTCAGTTATTGGTGGAAGTTGTTTAACCAATGCTTCCAAATCTCTCACCTTATAGGCGCGATAAACTGGTTCGTTCTTTGGACCTGCTATTAGAGGCAGATTTAAACCAGGGTCAGGAGCTCCTTGTTCAAAACACACTTTTCTACTCTTCCTCGACTTTCCTTTTCCCTTTGAGCTCCTAAATATGGGCTGTCTCTGTGCTTGGTCTCTCTTCACACTTCTTTTCCTCAAAATTAGGCTTGTACTTGGTTGGGGCTCAGGTCCTCCATCTTCGTCCTCCTCATCGTCTTCTTCTTCTGATGACCTCGCACGGTCTTCATTCTCCTCTTCTGGCCCTCCCTGCATTACTCTCTGCTTTATAACCTCCAATACCGTTAATGCCTCTATTAACGCACGTGGGGGCTCATGCATTTGTCCATACACTTCTCCTTCCCAATGTTCTCCCTTGGTTATCACTCCTTGTGGTATTTTGTCCTTGATTCTAGGGGTCCTTTTGGCCTCCCCGTCCTGCTTTGGCTGTTCCACTGTAGACACTTCGGCCCGTATGATGTTTCCACTATCCACCAAACTGGGAGGCGAGGTCGAGCCTTCATCTGCAGCTGAGGCTATCATTCTCCCTCCCATATTTTGGGACTGACATTCCACTGCCCTTATCCCTTCTTCAGGGATATTCAGGGGAGTAGTAGTATATTCAACATCTGCTATTCCGCCAAGGACAGCTCCAGTCTGTCCATCAGGACCACGAACTTGTCCCCCTCCAAGGGTCATTACAGGCATGACATATGGTGGTGGTGGTGCACAACGTGCCAATTCAGCCCAAGGATATAGTTTCGGTGTGTAATACCTGTTAGCCTCTTCTACCTTCGGAGTCAAGTCCTTCACTTGGTCCTTTAGCTTCTTATTTTCCTCCTTCAAATGTTTCAAAGACTCCATTATACTCACCATGTCTCCTGATTTTCCTGTGTCATCCTCTTCTGTCATCCAGGAAGAGGCTGCCCTCCACAGGAA